ACACACACCACACACACTGCATACACACCACACACACACTGCACACACACCACACACACACTACACACACACCAGACTGCATACACACCACACACACCACACACACTGCATACACACCACACACACACTACACACACACCACATATACTACACACACTACACACATACCATACACACTATACACACACCACACACACTATACACACTATACACACACCACACACACTATACACACTATACACACACCACACACACACTGCATACACACCACACACACTACACATACACTACACACCACATATACTACACACACCACACACACACCACATACACATCACGTATACTACACACACTACATCTCACACTACACACACTACACACACTACGCACACCACACACACACTACACAACACCACACAACACCACACACGCACTACACAACACCACAAAACACACACCCACACTACACACACCACATACACACACTACACTCACACCACACACATACATACACACAGGTCTGTGTAATTTGTTGGTATTTGTGGAGTGCTCCCAGTTTGTCACTGTGCTAAGTGCCTTGTCTCCCTGAATGCTTACGCACCACATAAACCTCTGAAGTAGCTGCTATTATTTCCATCTCCAGCGGATGAAAGATTGAAGTACAAAGAAACAATTTACAAGCCTGTTCAGGGGCAGAGCTGTCTGGGATATGGAGCCAATCACCTCAACCGCTGCCTGCCAGGAATTCATGAGCTTGTGGACTTGAGCAAAGCTACTTGACCTCTCCAATCCTTGACATTCTCGCGGATAAACAGGGATGTGAATGTCTACTTCCGTGGGATTAATGCGATTATGGACACGATGGCATTCCAAGAGGCTCCATGAATGTTGCAGTCTCCTTCTGTTTCTGCTCAGTTATTCGCCAAACATCTTTCACATCTGCCTCTTCTGTGCAGCCTCTCTGGAAGATGGAATGACCTATTGACCTACAGTGATTTCTTTCTTTTTTCTTTTCTTTTTGGTACCGGGATTGAACTCAGGGGCACTCAACCACCGAGTCACAACCCCAGCCCTAATTTGTATTTTATTTAAAGACAGGGTCTCACCGAGTTGCTAAGTGCCTCACTAAATTGCTGAGGCTGACTTTGATCTTGCAATCCTCCTTCTCAGCCTTCTGAGCTGCTGGGATTATAGGCCTGCATCACCGTGCCTGGTTATGATGATTTCTTCCTCTTACAAAATTCAAAAGTGCCAAGACTTAGTGTAAAATCATTTTCCAACTATTTCACTTAGGTTTTAGCCTTTACTTCCTCAACTAAAGTTTTTTTTTACAGGGCAGTAGCCACATTTACATTTCATTGATATCTCTTGTACTTAGAAAAGTACACAGTGAGAAATAGATAAATATTGACTGGCTTAGTGACGCAGCCTGTCATTTAAAATAGCTCCTGCTAGAAATGCATATAAACAGGTATACAGCAAATGCAGATTCATAATCTACCATTTACCCAGAAAGGGTAAATTATCCAGAAAGGGTGAACTAAAAACGAGGAAGGAGTTTTAACTTTCTTACCTGTAGATAGCCTAGGCTATGATGTACCCAGCTGTTGAAGGCTAATAGACTCTTGGTCCTTATTAAAAAGTGATACTGTATCTTCCGGAACTGCTGTCCTACCAGAAAAATAATCTATACTAAGAAACATGTGTCCACCAACCTTCGATGTATATGGCAGCCTATTAAGATTTAAGTGCTTCTCAGACATGCTGATTATTCATGGCTGGTGTTTCCCTCTGGAGTGAGTTATGAAGACCAGTACGGAACTGTAATTTATAGAGTTGGCTAACTATTGTGTTAAGCCAGTCCTGGGAATGAGCCAAGATAGGAACGCCAGGAATGATTCCACTGATACAAACGAGAGCCTGCAGGGTTAGCTGCAGACGCAGTTCATTGCTGGGGAATTATTAACGAGGCCTGAATCAGGTTCCAGCATATTCCCCAGAATGAGTGAGATGCCAGAGCCTCACGTCTGGTCCTTTACCATCCCGAAAAACTAGCTGAACTCCAACCCCAGAGCTGCCCGTGGTCCACTTTGTATCGATTGTTCGAGGTCATACAAGCCCTTCTTTTGCTTTTGCCTTTTGTCACTGACCCTTCAGATGTGATGAATTTTACCTAGGGCTGTTTTTAATGAAGCAAATGGACCCATTTCCACGTATAGTTTCTCCATTTGAGTTTCTTGGATGGATGTGAGTCGGTGGGAGTTCAAAGGACACAGAAGGAAGAGGGAAGGAGTTGTCTACAGAGGACATGTGGCCAGCCACACTGTCCCATCAGGCAGAGGCAGGGCTAACTGGAGAGAGATCTTAATGAAGAAAACCTCAATGTGACTCTAGGTCAGTGCCCTTTCCATCATGGTCACAAAAATCTGATCATTAACTTATAAAGAGGAAGGATTGATTTCGGCTCAGGTGTGGAGGTCCCAGCCTGTGGTTGGTTGGTCGGCCCTGTTGCTTTGGGCCTGCGGTGAGGAGTGGGCGATGGAGTAGAACCACTCATCCTCATAGCCAGGAAGCGAAAGAGAGAGAGAGAGGAAGAGACCAGGGTCCCCCAGTCCCCAGGCAGTGACCTGAGGATCTCCTACTAGGCCACACCTGTGAAGTTTCCACCACATCCCCACAGGGCCATCCAGGGGACCCAGCCTCTGGGGACACCTAGCCACACCACAGCAGCTCTGCTTACGACTTATGGGAACCGGTTGGTTTCTGATATAATAAAAACT